TCCAGGACTCGAACTGCAGTTGGCCATGGGGAGTCAGGCAACCACCCATAACCACCATACCACCTGCTAGCCCTGAGTAGAGGTTTTATTTATTTATTTATTAATAATTTTACTTTATGGGGCCGGCAGGTGGCTTGGTGGTTAAGGGTGCTGGACTCCCACATGGCTGACTATGATTCGAGTCCCAGACCTGGTGGTTTGCAAGCGCTCTCTTTCTCTCTCTCAGTCTCTCCCTCTCCGGTCAAACTGAAATAAATAAATGAATGAATAAATAAAATTAAATAAAGTAATTTTTAAAAAGGAATTATTTTACTTCACTTACTTATTTTGATTTGACCAGAGAGGGACAGAGAAAGAGAGAAAGTAAAAAAGCAAGCCGCCAGGTCCAGGATTCTAACCACAGTCGATCATGTGTGAGTCCAGCACCCTTAACCACCATGCCACCTGCAGCCCCTCCACTCCCCCCACCGCCAAGTAGACTTTTTTTTTGGAGAGGTTTTTGCTATAGGGCGCATGCGCTTGCCAGAAAGACAGAGACGGAGAGAAAGTGAGAACTCACCCCCCAGAGGGGTGGCCATGCTGCAATCCCTTCTCCTCCACTCTCCTCTCGGACCCCCCACCCCCGCCCCAGTAGACTTTTAATAGAACAAATTTTAACATGATTTAAATGGGGCGGTTTTCTCCAGACTTCCGGACAACTCCGGCCAGCCTCGTGGTCAACCTGGCATTTAAGTCGTCAGAACAGGAAAGTGTCATACAAAAAAACTAAATGAGGTAGTAAAATCATTGTTTATATTCTGAAGTTTGTCTACATTAACAAGGTTTAAAAGGCAGGATGCCTGTGATTGACTAAAGTCTAGCTACTGTGGTTGGCTATCACCTAGCAATTGACTCAGAAAAACAGCCTAATACATACAATTTCAGTTTATCCATAGTAATCAAAGTGTGAGAGTATGGCGGCTGTTGTAGGACAAAATAGTTTAATTTAATAGGGTAAGGCTTAGACTCACACATGGAGGACTGTGGTTTGAGTCCAGGCCTCACAGCTTGAAAATCACACCGTGTGTCTGCGTGCATGCCTAACATCCCAGGAGAAGAATGGAGGAAAAAGGAGTGTGGGTAGCTGTCCCCTCTGGGGATGATTTCTAACTTTCTCTCCACCCACCCACTCCTACCCCATGAGGATATGTACCCACAATGCAATCTCCTTCTCCATTTCTCCATTTATGAAGATTTGGGGCACGTATACACATCTGCCCAGTATGTTTTTCAAGCTGTTGGAGCTGCAATTTGAACCTCAGTCTCTCATGTATCCCTTAATCACTATGCTACAGGGTTTGGCCCATACAACTGAATTTTCCATCCTGGCCCTGCTCAGAACATCCAGGTACAATAGCCCCACTGATTTAACCACCTCCCTCACCTGGCTCTTCACTTTGGTCCTGGAAGAAGGCCTCAGCCTCTTCTTCCTCACCATCTGTGAGCAGCAGCAACTCCTCATGCGGCCACTGAAGATCCCTACTCTCTTCGTCTGGCTCAGAGGCTTCCACCACAATAGAGGGCAGGCGGAACTTTTGAGAGAGAACCTGAATAGGGACAGCAGGAGTTTGGGCAAATTGGAGGCTGAGTCAACTTCAGAACACAGGGTAGGGAAGTACTAACCTGAACATCCTGGTGATCTTCAACCCTGCCAATTTCTCCTCTGTCTTTCCAGACAGCATCGGTCAGTCTAGGACTTCCTGGATGCCAGGAGGAGCCTGGGCTATCTCTAAGCCAAGGCCCATCCTCACTGTTCCCTGGCACAAGGGCCATGGTGATTCTTACACAACAGGTTAAACTCAGAATAGAGTACCCTCAACCACTGTATTCCAGAGACTGCTCCTTTAATCTTCTTTGAAGCCTGCCTGGCCCCTTAATCACGTTTGAAAAGAGGATGACATTCAAGGAGATTATGTGCCCAAGAGGTGGTACAGGAGCTTTATTTCTACTTACTCCTGGAGACCTGGGATGGCAGCAAGGATAGGAAACAACAGGGCATCTGAACTAAAACCCTGTGAGTGAAGACTTGTTTTTTTATTTTATTTTATTTTAATTTATTTGTTCATTTTGTTTTAATTTGACCAGAGAGAGAGAGAGAGAGAGAGAGAAAGTGAGAAAGCAAGCCGCCAGGCCCAGGACTTGAACCGTGGTCAGCCATGTGGGAGTGTCCAGCACCTTAACCACCATGCCACCTGCTGGTCCCCAGAAGAGTTTTATTTTTTTAATTATTTAATTTTACTTATTTATTTATTTATTTTCATTTGACCAGAGAGAGAGAGAGAAAGTGAGAAAGCAAGCCACCGGGTCCGGGACTCAAACCACAGTCGGCCATGTGGGAGTCCAATACCTCAACCACCACACCACCTGCTAGCTCTAAGAGAAGAGTTTTAATGAACTTGTAATTTCTTGACTTCTACTTATTGGTTTTCCCAGGCTGGCATGTTTGTTTGTACCTTTTTTTTTTTTAAAGAATTATTTATTTATTTAATTCCATTTGTTATTGTTATTGTTATTTTTTCATTTGACCACCAGAGAGAGAGAAAGGGAAAGCGAGAAAGCAAAGTCACCAGGTCCTGGACTTGAACCATGGTCGGCCAAGTGGGAATCCAGTGCCCTTATCCACCATACCGCCTGCTGGCCCCGGTTGTACTTCTTTGTTGTTGTTGTGGTTAAGTAATTTCTAGAGACTACATGGGCTTATCAGAGAGAGGGAAAATGAGAAAGCACTCCTCTGTGAGTGACGGTCATGCCACAATCCTTTCTCCTCCACCTCTATTGGATTTGGGGCACACTCATGCAACGCACATGTTTTTCACGCTACTGAATCAGTTGTGTGACTGCACAGCCGTGTGGGATCTAGCTGCCTTAACCACCATGCCACTGGCTGACCAGCCAGGAGCTGGTTTTAAGTGATGTACATATACACTTCATTAGTTCTTTCTTGTTTTTAGATTTTTGCCATAAGGTGAGTCTACTCACCAGAGAGACAGAGGGAAGGCTAGAAACTACTCCTCAGGATGCCAGGTGCGTGTGCGTGGGTGCCCAAGATCCCAAGAGAAGACTGGAGGAGAAGGGATTGCAGCGTGGCCATCCCCCCCGCGGGGTGATTTCTCACTGTCCCCCTGTCTCTGTCTTTCTGGCGAGTGCATGTGCCCTATAGCTAAACTTCCGCGCCTCCCCGCCCCCCCCCAAAAAAAAATCCAGCTTTCACGGTTAAGAACAAAACAGAACAAATCAGGAAACCGGAAGGGCAGAAAACTGGGAGTCGTAAAACCCACAACAACCATGAATACACACTCTCTCTCCTATCTAGTTCACTCCAGATTTGATTTTACTCCTCGGTGCCAACACTTTTCTAAACACTTTTTCA